CTTCCACCAATACACATGAAGCGCATCTTTTTGAACTGCTGCTCATGCTACATCACAGGGCAACTGAACAGTCAGGGGATAGCGCTATCTACCGTCTTCCGCATAGCTGAGGCCCATGATTGGTTCGTGCCGCTCTGATTGACAGGGGAGAGACAGGGAGTAATGGCATCCCTCCCACCCTCCCAGACAGCACAGTCAATCTTGCTCTCTTGAAATTGCAACCATAGGACGAACGCTTTCTGTTGTGCCACTTGGGAGCCATATAGTTTTATTTCAACACAATATTGTGATATCAACTGGAATAAAGTCAAAAAAATTTAAAAGTTATCAGCACCCTTACAATAATATTTGGCAAAGCCTCCCCTGAAAAGAATACTAGCTCTAAGCGTCTTCCTCTAATGACTAACATGTTTAAAGACTTGTAGAGGATTTTAGACCACTCCACCATGAACATTTCAAAACATCTTTATATTATTAGCTTTTTGCATGCAGATTTCCCTCTTTGTTACAGACCACTTTTTTTTAATAGGGTCAAAACCTGTACACTGAGATGACCAAGATCTATCCATGAGCATGTCTTAGCCTTCTGGCAGAGGCAACCTTTTTCTGGGTTAAATATCTTCATAGAATGCCATCTTCACAACAGCCCCTGGACTAGTAAGTGTAAAACATCAATAACATGCCATCATGTGTTAAAGTGGGTGTCCAGTGCTTTTCCATGATCGCAAGGAGTAGAGGCAGCATACGCATGTGTCTTCATCCTGGCAAATTTTCAACTGTCCCAGACTTTTAAAACTTTTTATTATGGCCCTGATTGTGCTTAATGGTATTGCAAACTGCTTATGTATTTTTTTTTTTTTTACTGTATATCCAATACTTGACTTCAACAACCATCTGTCTCTTTTCTTAAAAGCTCACTGCTTTTTGGTTATTAAAAAAATCTGTCCAGTAAGCATAACGCAACTGACTTTTTGTTTTACGTGTAATCCATCTTAGACTTGTGTGTTAAAGGTGGGTTCGATAATATTAAGTCAGAACACCTTTTGTAACAACGGAATATGTACACAGAAAAATGGATTGGATTCTAGTGTTAAAACAGGTACCACAGTTAATACTTTCTTTTTTTTTTCTTTTTTACAAATGAAAGCATCATTTTTAAAAATGCAGTTTTTCTCAAGCCGATCAGGTAGATATCTCCCCTCAAAATGCCATCCTCCTCCCATATACGATCTATCTGCTATGAGTTTATTGTCTCTTTCTGCTAAGGCAGTCAGAGAAGGCATCTGCAGTATGCAGAGTGCAGCAGCAGAGGGATCAGCTCTCCCCTTAGACGAGAGGAAACGTCCCGAAATAAGCATCAGCCTCCATGAGGTTGACCTTACTGGCCAGTCGCCATGGCAACGAGTACAGCCCAAGTGTTCTCGCAAGTGACAAGAACGCAGATGACACTGTTTTAGTCACCTCTGCAGCTAATGTCTGTAATGACTTAAAATAAGGATTTGTACATATAAGTAAAGAAAGATGGGAGTGAATTTTTTTTTTTTTTTTTGAGTAATAAGAAAAAAGGAAGCACCTTCTTTCAAAGAGTGTAAGGAACAAAGCACAGCAAGGGTTTTCTGTTATAGAAAAATAATCAATGACAGGGTGGTGTGAAACAGCCTATCACATCAACTTGCCAGTGATCAAAATGTGAAACGTATTAATGAACAAAATGTCCTTGTTTTGCTTTTCGGCTGTTTATAGTTACATTTCATTCTGTGAAACGTCCGTGAAACACGTTCGCTCCCATTACCGCTTGCAGTGTAGTAGCGATAAACAGTCGTTCCCTCACCAGCCTCTCTCTTTTGACGTTAATAAGACAAAAAAAAATAAAAATACAGCTTGTCATGTTACGGGAAGATAACAGAAAGCACAAAGCCCTCTACACTTAAGAGTTTCTCATGTCAGAAAACTTACTGACCATCACAAAACGCTGACACCCAAGACTCCTTCCGCAAATGTTCTATAAATAATTTTCTTACAGAAAGCTTCACTATATCAATGACTATTCATCATTCTTTGTTACGATTATTGTGTGTATGTTAACATGTTTTTTTATCCTTTATTACTAGCTTTAGCTTATGTCGAGCATCGGCCATACAAATCCCTGAGAATTAGTTAATACTGCTGAAAAAATTAACATATTAGAACAAGTACATTCATAGAAAACTGTGATATGAATTACAGTTGGCACTTTAGTCAGAGCTGCTGATATAGAAAATTAATCAACACCTTCTGACCAATCAGAACTAATTAAAAAGAACAGTGGGCAATCCTTCTTTTCCAGTAAACACCAGTGCTCTGCGCTGCCTTTGTATGTTTCCTTTAGTAGTTTGCAGGCTATAATCTGAATCTCTTAATCCAGAGAGGGATTACAGCCCTGTGACATGGACAACTATTTCCATGGAGGATTTTCCGCCTGACTTTGTGATGAGAGAGTGGATTTAAATGACCGAAAAATGTGAAAATTAAATAAAACTGAATATGGCGATATTTTAAGGGTGCTGTGGAGGAGATAGAAGTGTGTTTTAAGTGAAAATGTACACACTGGACCAGACTGCAGAGGAGAAACACACAACCACTTATACACACAAACAGATTTGTCACATGAAGGCTAGTAGGATGGACAGAACGCGAATACCACCATGTTCTTTCACACTGCATTTGGTTTGTCTGTATTTCAAGCAATGCCATAGGAAGAAAGTCAATGACCTTGGATGCAGTAAGGCCATAAATATCCACTGGATTTTTTTTTCATCTCATGACGGTTCCAGATTTTTTTTTTTTTTTAAATCCCTCCTCCAATCCATCTATGGTCCAATTTGCAAACGTTCCAAAAATAGACTGTCACTGAAACGCATGTCTAGATGGCTTCAACTACAATACAATTAAATCAAGGAATATGTCTAAGGGCATAGTGTTGATAGTGTGATACACATGTGTCTGTTCTGTCTCTGTACCAGCTGAGGTGGCTGGTGCTTAAGCTGTCATGTCTGTGACACAGCCATAAATGAGAACCCGCTATCTCCATGGAAACATACTCCCCAAAACCCCTGGGAAATAGTTTCCAGTCTGTCAGTGACATCATCAGCCTGAGACCTCAGCTCTCATTCTCATGTTGAGCTCACAGAGGAGATTTGAAGGGCATCATGCTTTGTGCTGCATGATGTTTAATACATAAACAACATGGAAATACCTTAAAAGGTGCGTTTATTCGGAAGCCAGTGTTTAATGATGAAGACACCTGTACACACTAAATAGCATGCACACACAAATACACACAGACACGAACACATTCGTGCTTAATGAAAGTTTACGACGCACCCTGCGGGTTTGATTATTTTATTACTAAAAGCTTCCTGTGAGGTGAAATGTAACATTAGACCTGAAAGCACCCTTGCCACCTATATCTCCATCATAAGCAAACATGGCTCTTTTTTCCTCTCCTCTCTCCACTTCTTCACACCTTTGTGCCACTCATGTTCCTCTCTGTCGATCCCATATTATCCAGAATTCTCTATCTAGCATAACCCCATCCCCCCATTCATCTTTCAGTTCTCTTGTCCTTTCTTGCCCGCACCCACTTGTCTTGTCCTACCCAGCATGCACTGCGCAACACCATGTGAGCAGGACCCCATAGCATTGAATTATGATGGAGGATGGGCTCCCAAGGCTCAGAGACTCATCAGTGTGCAGGGACACACTTACACACATGGTTTGCTACACACATGGTTTGCTAAACATTTGCTACCCTTGAAGGCTTGTACATTCAGGGTCGTTGCTGTATGGAGGATATATCAGCTGGTCAGCACTGTGGATGCAGGGTTATTACATGTCTTGGGCAAAAACACAGCCAGTAAATGACTGCCTAAAATGCAGAGGGCACTAGCACATCATTTCATACATAATATCTAAATCCCTTCATCTAAATGGGTTGAACTGAAGACGCAGGGCGTTTGAGAGATGCAGTAGAGCTACGCATTCTGGTGCTGTTGTAGGATTATATATGCATGCAGACCACACCATATACCCTAACCTGTTCCTGATGTTATTTCTACACAAAGTTCCAGACTGATAAAACACTGCAAAAAATGCATCTCTTTCCCCATCCCTCTCATACAAGAACACTTTTTACATATACAGAGCTTTAAAAGAGGTGTGCAGTATCTTTTACCTGTAATTGTCACTATTTAGGCAATTTTATTAGGCAACTATATTGGTATGAAAAGGAAATTCATAACAAAACATACAACACAGACTAAATGTCTGCATCCATAGGGCACAGCAAACTGATTCATAACTGCTCCTTCATGCAATTATCCAATCAACCAATCATGTGGCAGCAGCACAATGCATAAAGACATGCAAATACAGGGCAAGAGCTTCAGTTAATGTTCACATCAAGCATCTGAATGGGGGGAAAATGAGATCTCAGTGAATTTGACAGTGGATGTTGGACGGATGTTGGTGCCAGACGGGCTGGCTTGAGCATTTCAGAAACTGCTGATCTCCTGGGATTTTTATGCACAACAGTCTCTAGAGTTTGAGGTCTCTAGAGTGTTCACACCAGAATGGTTCGAAAAACAAAAAAACATCCAGTGAGCAGCAGTTTTGCAGGTGGAAACACCTTACTGATAAGAGATGTCAGAGGAGAATGAGAATGAGAATAAGCACTCTTTATAACCGAGGTGAGCAGAAAAGCATCCCAGAATGCACAACACATCGAACTTTCAGGTGGATGGGCTACAACAGCAGAAGACCACACCGGGTTTCACTTCTGTCAGCCAAGAACAGGAATCTGAGGCGATCATGGGCACAGGCTCATCCAAACTGGAGAGTTGAAGACATTACATTTACTCATTTGACTGATACTTTTATTCAAAGCAACTTATAATTGAGACAGGATAGAAATAAGTAGATGAGGTTTAAGGGCCTTGCTGAAAGACCCAACAGCAGGAGCTTGGCATTGTAGGGATTTGAACTCATGACCATTCCAGTCATCAGCCCAAAGCTTTAACCATTAAGCCACCACAGAGCCCTGACCACACGACCTGAGTAAGAAAGGTCAGATCGGAATTCACGTGGCTTTTTTCCCAATGTGCATGCATGTATCACTGTCATTAAGTGTCCCTGAGACAAAAATGGAGGACAGCAACAGCACTGACAGCAACTTCTTTCAGTGGATGGATCCTTAGTGATGTAGTTAGATATTCGGGATAATCAATTCAAGCAAAACCAAAACCAATTAGTATAGTGAAATGACTGGCCAAGAAATCAATGTGTACTTGCGGGACGTTTCGAGGGACAGGTGTGTTCACATCAAAGATGGATATGGGTTACATTTAATGCGAACTGTCACAATAGACAGATCTGATCTGAGCAAAAAATCAGAATTGCCCAACGAAGCTTGTAATGTGAACGTTGTCCTAGTATTCATTGGAGAAATTAGGTTACACATGCTTGGACATTTCCAGGCGTATCTAAAGTGAGAAGAATAAAAGACATAAAGACAAACTTACGGATATATTTATAGATTTTGAGCTATTGTAAACATCTAATACAGCAAGCTTACATACTTGGATATGCAGTGTGTATGTATTATTCAAAGCTAATTTTGTCAACACATGATCTTCACACTCACCCAGGAGTCTTAATGAGAATTTTAATTAATCTTAATTTACAGCCGCTAAATGACTTTTGCTTCGCCTTTTAATTATCCCCATCACAAGCTTTTAATGCACGTAGGCGTTTGGTGTTGAACAGAGATAGCGGCTGAATGAGTATAGGTCAGCACTCATTACAGAGGCTTAGTGTGAACAGCAATCAGCAAAACACTGCTGATCAGCATCTCTCAAAGAGTTACACAACACTACAGTTCATTACAGAACACCTCAGTTAGGATCTCAGTCAGCAGTGGCAGAGAGACTTGTGTATACTTGCGAATAATCGTATTTTTCCATGAGTAACACATATTTGTGCAGGGAGGTATAACATAATAATGTTGAAAGGACATGCATAAAAATATTCCTGAGAAGATGCTTTAAAGATATTGGATACCGAGTCCTTGCAAAAGTGATGTTTTAATGCTAGAAACAATTTTATACATTTTTTATACAAGTTGCACAATTGTCATTAGTGTTATCTATTGCTGAATAAAGCTAAGACAATCCATTTCGAGTTCCACTCGAAAATATTATAAAATATTATATCACAATACTTTTCTTTTCACAGAAATTTCTACGACAGACAATATGTATCATAAAAAGTTTTGCTAACCAAAATGCCATTAAAACAGTAGTGTTGCATTTTTAATAAACTATGAAAAACTGTTTTATTGTTTTACTGTTAAATTATTTTAAACAAAGAATACTTATTTTTTTAAAATAATGTAATAATTAAAAAAAAAAAAAACATTTCACAATATTAAAAGTTCAGTGCAAAGTTTTGACATCAGATAAGCTGAGTTTGTAAGTGTTTTTTTTTTAAATGTGAGAAATCTTACCATGGCACCTGTGATATCTCAGAAAAGTGAATTATGGCAAAAATTTATCACAGTATCAATATTATATCGTCATATTACCCTGCCCTAATTCAGGCATGGGATATTCAACAACTTTATTGCATATCATATATTGTCCATATTGCACAGGCTGATTCTGAAATCCAAAGACAAAGCCTATGAAGTGTCTAAAAATCTACAGATTGCATTTGTCATTTCTTCATGTGTGTATGATATAACCCCATTTTTACAGTGTGTCACAACAATCAGTTCTGTAACAATGCCTAGCTCTTTAGTCTCTCTCTCTCTCTCTCTCTCTCTCTCTCTCTCTTATACTTGTGCACCATCACTCCATACTAATCTTCTCTGCAAAGTGAAACACGGATTGTTTCGCAGTTTTCTAGGACACACATGCCTTGTGACCCAGTTCTGTGCACTGCAGTATTCGGAGCAATTTTATTGTGTGGCTAATTGATATGTACAAAAAGCTAATTTCCATACATGAGTGACAGCATCACGACGAGGCCAATTTACAATACCAGAATCCAGAAGAACCCAGCAGGGAGATCTAATTAACCAGTGACAGAATGCAACACGGTCCATATTCGAATGTTTTTTTTCCCCCTATATACATCTGTTCCGTGTGTGTGTGTGTGTGTGTGTGTGTGTGAGTAACAGTGTGTGAATGTGTGAGTGTGTTGTGCTTCTGGACTGTGTGATTGTGCAGGAGCCTCAGCCAAGAGAAGCAAAAGGAGGAGATTATCAGGGATGGAGGGGGTGGGATCCAAGCCATGTGATTGGACAAAAGCCTTGGGTCTGATCCCTACAGATGGTCATGGTTGCCATGGCGATGACGAGCTCAGCATCAGTATCCTTTCACGGAGACGACAGTGGAGCATTCTGCCACACGCACGCATGACGTGGCGATGTGTCTAGTTTACACACGCAGTCCGTGCCATATCAGCACAATCACAACACCTAATCATACACGAACGGCTTTGTCACGTAAATGTCTTAATAGAAACTTCTGGAATCACGTTGACCTTGTAAGAATCAGTAACTAGTTTTACTGTTTATAATATCTTTATAATATCCAGTCTCTATCTGTTCTTTCCTCCACGCACACGTGCATCCTCCAGTCTGTGAATTGCTTTTTTGGTTCGCTCTGAAGATCAATGAAGTGGAATCAGCATGAAGCGCTCCAACCTTCTCAATCTATAAAAGCTCAAACCGAGCACTCAATCTGTCAGTCATGCAATTGCAAAGCGAGAGCAAAGTGATGGAGAGGACAGAAGGAAGAGAAGAAGAAACAGACAGACTGGAGAGTGCCATCAGATGGAGGAGAAAATGGGAACGAATGAGAAGCAGAAACGAACAGTAGCACAGGCAGGGAAGGAAGAGGAGATGGAATAAAGCTTTGTTCCTGGTTAAGCTGTTGCAATGAGCACATTTGTATAACCTGTCCTAATGCCCAGAATGCGTCAGTGAGGGTCCTCCTCCTCATATAATTACAACACAATACTAAACTAACGATACAGTCCAATCCTCACCTATTAAAAATAAACTAGCTCAAGGGCACCGCAGCTGTGTCAGTTGGTCAGAGTTTTTCCACTGGCTCTGAGGAACTCTGAGGTTTTAGTCCTACCTGGCAGTTAAAGCTGCTGCGCTCAGAGGCTCGCTGCTGCATGCTGTGTGCCCGCTGGTGCCTGTTTCAGAGGCTGGTGAGCTCCAGGCAGAGCTGGTGCTTTGGCACTCCTCACCAGGCTCAAGCTTAACGCCAAGACAAGCCTTTCAGCACGGCAAACCCGTCCGACTGTGATCTCCAGCCTGTGTGTGTTTTTTTTTCTTGAGAGACCTCCATCCACCAATCAGGAGGGAGGTTAGAGCATCGACATCACTGACTGCGTGGACTGCAGCCTAAGCTCATGTGCTTTGTGGGTGTGTGTGTCTGAGGAGTGCTCTGTCTGTGTGTGTATATATATGTGTGTGTGTGTGGTATGTGCTGTACCGAGCTCCCTCCTCTCTGTCTCCTCGCTCGCGCCTTCTTGATGTCTCAGCATCCTCCATAAAGACAAGGGATGCACTCTGGGAGATGTAGTGCTCATGCCCATCAACAGTTAAAGAAATAACACAGGCTTGTTCAGGACAATATTATCAGTGTCATACTAATATTAAAAGCTGCACATGACTGGCTGATGTGTAAATATGACTAAAAGCCTTGGGCTGGGGTGACAAAGAAAAGAGCAAATCCTCCCCACAGATCTCAGATCAGCATGACTACAAGAGCAGTTCAACTCCCCCTGCGTGTCCGTCTGTTCGGCATGGCCTTTGGCCAGCTCTTCCATTGACCAAAATCGCAACCTCTCCATCACTCCTGCTCAACACACTCACAACCCTGCTCCCACTTCCTCTCTCTCTCTCTCTTCATCTCTCACTCAGATTTTTTTAATATGTGCAAATGAAAAAACCTGAATGGAAACACCAGAGCTGATACATTTGCTTTTTTTGTTTTAATAAATAATGCCATTGTATGTGTCCAGTCTCTCAATAAATGTTTGACTAGTGTGCTTTTGATTATGTAATCCAAAATGGGCAATCTTCTTCCTTTAAAAGCTTAATGGATAATACTTCACATAGGTCATTTTTTTTTTCATTTTTTTAAACTCCCATTAGACTGACATTATGATTTCTCGCTCACTTGTTCTCTCCCTCTCTCTCTCTCTCTCTCTCTATGTCTGTGTTACATCTTGTTCTTGGAACACTTCAGACAATGACTGAAAATTATAGCAGGACACTATTTTACATGATCTGTCTCCATGGTGTCTGTGCAAACTTCTGTGACCTCCTCGCAATGACATTTCAATTCGAATGAAGCCCAGCCCCAGAGCATGGGTGGGATACAGTGAAGGAAATCAATAGGCAGTCAAATGAGCCCATTCTCTCATGCACACTGAGCATGCACCATGCAGGACACAGATACGGTCAGTATGAACACTCACCCCGTCACTGCTCGCAGGGCTCTGAACCTGCAGAAGGACACAGAGGGAACACAGTCTACAAACGCAGCTCAGAAGGATTTAAAAAAAAACAACAAAAAAACGAGAATTCTCACACTTTGCTTGAATGGTTTCAGAAATATTTATGGTCGGCTCTTTTATATTAAAAAGGTTAATGCTTTCAGAGCACTGTGACTAATTCGGGGATTGTGCCTTATGAATCTACGCCAAGCAGAACTGTTAGAGGCTTAACCAAGTCTACAACCCAATACCATGTGATGTGTCAGCAAACTGCACTGCCACAGGAAAAATTGATTACAGCAGGATTAGGAACACACTGAATCATACCATGACCAAAGCTTCCTATTTCCCCCTCTGTACTAAAGATAAAAATGACAGATTGCTCACCCTGCATGACTCTGTTTTACCCCTATCACATCAGCACTCAGGACACGACACTCTGACCAGACTAAATTTCAGCCATGAAAAGAAGAACACACTGAGATTTAGGACACAGCAGCTTCTACATTCAGTCAGAATGTCATGAAGAATGAATCTGAGACTTCACGTCTCAACAGACACACCCTTTATCACCTGGAGCAAACATAGACATGGGATGAGGTAACACTGTAAGTGGGTTTAACTGCACTGAAAATGTTTTATTCGACCTCCATATCACTACAGACATCTATTTTTATCTCTTAGAATTCTTATCATTTTAATTCTTAACTTCAGACTGAGTCCTGGCGCAGCTGTGACTGTTGGTTTGGTCTTTAATGATGCCAGCAATCTGAAACACTGCCTCCTACAGGATGTGCAATAAAATGAAACTGCCCTCTCCTCTTATCGCTAAGCTATAGTGTCCCTTACCCAGAGTGCATTTCGACTGAGTGACCATATTTCTGTAAGCTGTATAGATTTTTTAAAAACGTCAATTTAAACTCATTTTGTCATTGAATACATCAGAGTTACTGAATACGTCAGAGTAATTCATTACGTATAAAGTATTTTAATTAGACCAATTCAAAGCAAAATGAAACACAACAAACAGAACTCGATGCCGACGAGTCTATTCCTCCATGATTTGTATGCCTGAAGTACCGTTAAAATATATATAACAGGAAGCTACTGAAGAAAAACTATTTCAGACATTTGACCTTGCTCTGACCTCGAATCATTTCGGATCAATTCCAAAATCTGCTGGTTACGATAATAAACCCATATAAATCCTACACACATTTAATCATTCCTTCTTGCGATACTGCGCTAACGAGAACCTCAGACGGACGGCTGCATGGACGGACAAGCCGAAAAGATAATGTCTCTACCATCTAGTGACTAAATTAACTGCTTGTCTCCACTTCAGTAACCACTTTATCCTGGTGGATAGTGGATCGGGAAACTACACCAAGAATACATTCATTCACACACAGAGTCACTTAGAGTAGCCAATCCACCTTTTTGGAAGGTGGAGAAGCTGAATGAAACCAATGCAGACACAAGGAGAACATGCACAGAAACGCTGCACGGAGACTAACTCTTGCTCAGGGTCAAACTGGGTCCCTGAAGCTGCAAGACGCTCCGCTACCTGCTGCATCACCATGTCTGTGCCGCTTAACACTTCATAAAACCTTATCATCTTCTCTTCTTTAATCAATCTTAAAACACGTCACATTAAAACAACATTTTCTGATACGTATGAGTTCTCAGGCAGCACAGCGACACACACAAAGCTCAGGATCCCCGGTTCGATCCTGAGCTCAGGTTACTGACTCTGCAGAGTTTTGCATGTTCTCTCTCTGTCCTCCGGTTTCCTCCCACCTCCCAAAAACATGTGTAGGTGTACTAGGTACACTAAATTGCCCATAGGTTTGAATGAATGTGTGAATGTGTGTATGTAGTGGCCTACAATGGTCTGGCATCCCATCCAGGGCATATTCTTGATTCATACCCAGTGTTCGTAGGATAGACTCCAGATCCACCACAAGCATAAAGCAGTTATTAAAGATGAATGAATGAATTCCCAAAGAGGTCCACTGCCCAAAATGATAAACAAATTAATCTTGTTTTAAAGAAACACACAAACGTGTATTAAAATATTTTTAATTGGGTAAATGTAACACAGCACTGTATTATTATATATGTAACTATAATGTAAATACTGAGGATGCTTGCACTTACCATCATATATAAATACATATTCGTTTTTTTCTCATGTTTTTACTAATATTGCCTTCCCCACTTAGGCATCGACCACACTATAGTGCGTATAATGATATTTGCTATTATAGTTATAGCTACTGTATTATTTTTGGAAATATCAACAGTTCTCTTACTAAATGGAGTCTGGACGTCACCAAGGTCACCTTCCTGTTCTCAGAGAAACACTCAGGAAGGAAGCATGTCTGACATAGAAAGCATTGTCAAACATGCTCCACGTCCACGTAAAGCCGTGCAGACGTACCTTAGGAAAGCATATCTTTCCTCAGCTAGAAGGTTACAGATGGAACAGAATAACCATCACTGCAAATTGTTAAGGAACTGCAAAGACTCCGAGAGCTTGCCAGCTTTTTCTGCAGATTAATTCCTCAGCTTTGCAGTAACACCGTCGTCGTCCCCCCACCACCCCAACAGCCAAAGTTGAAGGCAACGTGACAGCTGAAGTGAAACAATTTAGCAATAGTTGCCTTTCAAGCGTTGAAGGATTGCTCTATTGGCGTTCATTGTGGAATTAGAAGCTTAGGAGCTTCAGAAAATGGCATTGGAGTTGTGTTGTCACAGCGCCATAGAAATTCATTGAAATTACACCCTTGCGCCTTCTTTTCTCAAGAACTACGTTTCTCTCTGAAAGGAATTACAAGAAATAGTGATTCAGATCAAAATGTCAGCTCACACCACCATTATTATCATTATATTAGAACGTTCAAAAGCCAGACGTTCTGTTCCACAACCAAACTCCCTACAGTCACGGAAACAGCAGAGGTACTTTTTTCAACATTATCAGAGACATGCTGTGATTACAAGGTGCGGTTTAGCTTACTGTGCATGAAGGACCTTCTCTTACCTGGTTATGCTTCCCAGTTTAAAAGTTAAGTAGAAAGCTTCGTTCCAGAGCAGTGACAGTGATATGTGCCGTCTATCAACAGGTTGACAGCGAAACTATTCAGGCTGAGCAACGAATTTTCATCATGGGGTCTCAATGACATATTAAGAATGATGGAACAGCGTTAAACTATTAAACCCACAGTTAAAGGCAGATCGGCAGCTGCAGTGAAGATTTTTTCAAGGGTTCAAACCATTTCGTTCAAACGCTAAACTTTTATGAATTTTTGTGTAATTTGCATGTGACTGGACAACCTGTCTTTAGTCTATCTACTCCGCTGTCATTTCGGAGGGAAATGTTTAACAGAGTAAATTATCCACTTTTTATGCATTCATTACACCCATGACTGTATTTCACATGAGTCTTCTCAGTCACTGCCGATGACTTGTTACAGATGTGTTAGATACGATGGCAGAAAAATATCAGGAATCACCAGACTGTCACTGATAAGCTGCACGAATCTACTGTCTGGACAGCAGAGAATCAGCCCAGCCTTGCTTCTTCATACAATTCTCTGTATTTTTATTAGACCTTTGGCGGTGATGTTGCATTAACACATTGGATAGCAGCAAATAATCTGATGAAGCCTTGCTGATACCTTACTGATGTCTTTTTAACTTTGAAAGACAGAGGCTTAGCCCTGCTAACCCATTTATACCTGCTGCCCCTGATCTAGGCAGATTTCTTCAAACATACTTCTGCAGTAACCAAAAGAAATGGCGCCTCTTCCTACACTGGGTCCAATACGCTCAAATTTAACACACTCACCAACAGGATTTTTTCCATAGACTATCAACCTCTGATAGTCTGATAATGGCCTAATGTGCTTCCTCAGAAGTGTTGATGGTTCATGATTGGTTGCACGGAATTGGATCTCCTACAAGACCACCTGAAGCTGAGCCACCCCTTAACCTTAAACCCCAACCCCCATTTGTCTTCTTTGGTTCAGGCTCTGCTTGACTTTTTGACGCCATTAAATATTCCATCTGGTCAACTTGGAGGACACCTTTGACCCCTTATTCACTGTGGCTTTCCACCTGGAATATCCAGACCACCACCATCCCCAGACCAACGGAAAGGGCATTGATGCAGGGATGGTTCCGCTTCAATCTTCAGCTTCTGATCACTGATTTTGCCTTTGGATTTGCCCTCTGCTTTTGAATGTCGCTGTATAATTTTTGTATACCGTGTGTAAAACATTACTGGGTAACTGCTTTGGAATTTAAATTGGACTCTGTTTGCCTGGAGCTCTGTGTCTTTAATTATATAAATAAACATCTGCACATGGAAACCTCGCAACTCAATCAGGTTGAGCTTGTTACAAACAGGATGTTTTTCCTAAAATAAACAAGGCAGACCAATTGACTGAGTGATCATTAATTAATCATTAATTTCATATTTCTACCCAGCTGGCTATCATGGGCTACTCACTATGGACCTCAAAAGCTGCTTTTACATTTAGAACACTTGTTACCAAAACATCATTTTAATTGTTTAAAACTACAAGGAAACGTGCTGCCGTGTTGATTTAAGCTAAAAGCTTTGGTGGCAAATGCACTTTCCGCTTACCACTGTTGTCTCTGGCATACGACACACTCCTTGGCTGCGTGTGTATCCCTGCTAAGCAGGAACTGAATTTTTCTGTCTCCACGTGAAAAATTATGACTGCGTCTTGCAAGCTCAGATAAAGCGTTTCGTGCACGTTATTAGTGCGTATGTATTTGGAGTGGCGCTGAAGAGACAAACGCCAAAGGCATGAGAGTTGACAACGGCTAGTACTGGACCAGGAGCCCTGAGTGAGTGCACCTGTTCTTGGCAGTAGTGCTGAAGTACAGAGCCAAACAATGCGGAAAAACCTTCTATCACTCCAACAGAGCTGACGCTATGCAGTGTACAAAGCAACTTCTCGTTCTGACATTTATGTTCTGCAGACCTGAGCGACTCCATGCTTCATAAGTGTACTGCAGCGAGCATGCAATATGGCGTCTATCCCCTATGTAGCCCACTACCCCATATGTCCAAACAAAAGACATGTTCATGTTCTGCTGCAGACTGCTGAATTCTGTCACTACGTGCACTTGCTCTCCGTTCTATCTAATCTATCTTTGTTTTGATGACTGCTTTTGCATGATGCTGTAATTGTTTAAAAAAAAACATGCAAATGGTAAACGTCCACTTGGAGAGCCTTGGCACACGTTTAAACACTGAATGTGGGCTTTGAGGAGGCCACAGTGACTTAGTGGTTAGCACTGTTGCCTCGCACCTCCAAGGTTGGGGGTTCGATTCCCGCCTGTGCGTGTGGAGCGTGCATGTTCTCCCCATGCTTCAGGGGTTTCCTCAGGTTTCCTCCCCCCCAGTCCAAAGATATAACTGGCATCTCTAAATTGTCTGTAGTGTGTGAGTGTGTCTGCAATTGTGCCCTGTGATGGGTTCGCACCCTCTCCAGGTATAGGCTCCAGGCTCCCCACGACCCTGTGTAGGATAAGCGGTACAGAAAATGGATGGATGGATGGATGGATGAGGAGATAGATGTGGGATTTGACCTTACTCCATTCCCATGATGTGGGAGAGATTCTGAGGAAGACCACTAACCGAATAAGCAGAGGAGAATCAGGAAAACAAACCATACAGCCTGCCATTTAGTCCTACTCTTGAGCCTATGCGACATGAAGAAGCTACTGAAGTATGGCAGAAGACAAATGATGCCAGTCCTGTGCTTGTGGCAGTAGTGAAATGAACCCCAATGCATTCTTTTGTTTGTTGTTGAAGCTATGCATCAACTGGCTAGATTTAAAATCCATCAGGAATGCAACAGTGCTCTTGTTCTTTTTTTTCTTTTCTTTTTTTTTTAACACTGTGTTATTCCTATAGGCCCTGTGAAAACGCAAATGAGACGCTCGAGATGCATGAACGTGTCTTCTTACCGGCGGAAGAAGAGGCTCCATTTGCGCTCCTTGGTCTTTTATGTCCATTCTGTTCTCCTCCGAGCCACGGCTGAATGTGTACTTAGTGTGTTTCAGTATCTCCTAACAGAAGAGATGCACACACTGATACGGCTGAAGCAGCTGCACGTTTACACTGGAAACCATTGGCTAGTCGTCGACCCTCAGAGCCAGAGACAGAGAGGGGGAGAGAGAGCGCGCGCGGTTGCTCTGCTCGCGCACGCCGTGCCTCGCTTCGCGTGCAATTTGCGCTCGTGTGACGCAGCTCGCTTTAGCACGTGAGTGTTTTATGCCGAGACGCAACACGTTTAAAGCAGAGCACGCGCAACACTGGATAAGAGCGCGAGCAACAGTTTAGTATTATAACTATACACTAGCCTATAATAGGGATATCTGCGTTTAAATGGAGAGGGTTAGGGTACAGTCTAATTCAATAATTCAACAGATTGCAATTATCATAAAAATGAAAGAAATAAAATACTACAGCTTAGAACTCTGGTGGCAATAAAGATATATCAGAATTAGAAGTAGGATAGGCTATATAAACTCCTGATTAGTGTTAAAGCACGTTTTGCATATACTGTATGTGTGCTTGGAGGTTTGGGGATGCACTGACTCTACAGCATAGTGAATCAGCATCACAAATATAGTGGCACTGGCACCATCTAGTGGCTAATTTAGGTAATGCAATGCTGTGATCTGTGCTAATGCTTTTCATGTCCCTGACCAAATACCACAGTATGGTCAAAAGTATGTGGACGCCTGACCACGGCCATAAAGAATATCTTTGTATGCTGTAGCATTACAATTTCCCTTCACTGGAGCTAAGAGCCCCAAACCTGTTCCAGCATGACGATGCCCCTGTGCATAAAGCGAGCTCCATGAAGACATGGTGTGTGAAGGTTGGAGGGGAAGAACTCGAGTGTCCTGCACAGAGCCCTGACCTCAACCCCACTGAACACCTTTGGGATGAACTGAAACAACGACTGAACCCCAGACCTCCTCACCAACATCAGCGCCTGACCTCACTAATGCTCTTGTGTCTGAATAAACACAAATCCCCACAGCCACGCTCCAAAATCTAGTGGAAAGCCTTCGCAGGAGAGTGGAGCTTATTATTATAACAGAAAAAAAGGAAGGAAGGAGGGACTCCATATTAATGCCATGCCTTTAAAACAGGATGTTCAACAAGCACATGTACTTTTTGGCCTTATAGTGTAGCCTGTGTGCCACCAGCATGAGTGAAACTATCAAATTAAAACAGTCTCAGGTTCACTCATACCACAGTATATAGCTTCTAGCTTAGAAATTGAATGCAGGGAATGTAGGATTGCCTACCTTGCTACGAGGCCATATAAACTTTTCCCATTCTCAGAAATGTAAAGATAAAAAAGTGCTAGCATTTGCTTTGTAACTAGCAAATACATGAATTATGATGTCACTACCTATGATCATCACTACAGCCGTATAGGATACTATTTAGTGTGTTAGTCTGTACATTGTCCCTAGCTTCATAGTAGCTTTCATTGCTTTACCCCTTGCACTCTGATTATGCAAAACAAAATTCAGATCACCAGAATTATGATTCAGTTCCTCAAACTAGGCAAATGTGTCATTTAGAGGAACCCGTCATTAAGTCGGAGCAGCAGAACACCGACCTGCCGCTAGGTGGCAGTCAAACTCGGCTGGTTTCACATCAGCGTGCATTGAAATAAACAAGACTTAAAAAGTCAAATCGACAAGACGTTCTGTTTTTAATTCACGTTTTTAAAGCACACTCAGATTTTCACAATTCAGTACTGACCCACTTTAATACTCATCTGGAAAGTTTTTATTTTTTTTTTAATTATTATTATTTTTTTTTCATCTATGCCTATAACCTACTACACATTAGGCTACTTAAGTCTGATGGAGAGGGGAATTGTATCCTGCACAGTTTGTGGTGGAAAAAAAAAAAAAAAACAATTACAATACTTGGCATCCACAACTGACTGAATATCTTGACTGGATATGTTGAATTTAATTACGTCCATTAACTACAATTAATATGACTAAATAGCCCATTTAGTAGGATAAAGTAAGCTATAGAATATATATCTATATATCTATAATATTTTTTTTGCAAGGGAAGTTGAGGTTAATTACCATGAAACTACTCTGTCTACACTCTAGACACTGATTACATTCAATTAGTTTACACTCAATTTATTTCAGTAGTTTTGAAATAAGGCTTTCTTTTTTGATTGGTTGGCTCTCAGACCATGGCTACAGCCTCATGAGCGTTTCCAAATGGTGTAACGTGTTTGTCCAGGATCAGGATCATTCTCTCTGACCCCCTGCACCCGCCCCAGTAAATTCATTAGGCCTGATGAAATGGATAGAAACAGCATCAGGTTTGATTTGTACAAACTATGGCTTCAGTCGGAAGGGGTTCTGAAATCAAATGGCCTAATGTGCTTGCTCAGGATCATTTTCTCTGACACCCACCACCCTGACCTAACAAACAAACAAGCAAACAAACAAACAAATAAATAAGGTAAAAACAAAAAGAAGTCTGGTGGACCAGCTGATCCATCCCGCATGCTGTGTGTTTAACTCTGAGAATAGAAAGTGAAGTAGTTCATATTCCGGGCTCCGTCCTGTGCGCTCAGGAGCTCTGTTTTGAGCGGTGAGTGCTCCTCAGGCACCGGCGGTGACATCCTCTTCCTTTTGGCCTGCTCAAAAATCCCCGAGTCGCCTGAATCCACTGATTTCACCGAAGACGGAGTTTCTGTCCAGCCCGAATCCGGTGCGTCCTTGTCTTTGCTCGCGTCGGACACTTCCGGTGCGCTGGCGTCCTTCTCCGTGCTCCCGTCTTCGGACAGGTAGGAGCGCTCGAAGCTGGTGTCCGTGATCCAGCTCGGCAGCCCCGCGCCGCGCGACTCCCAGCCCGCCTGCGCGGCGCAGTAGGCAGTAAGCGCGCGGCCAGAAGTCGGGGTAGCGGAAAGCGTCTGACCTTTGACCCCTGCAGCGGCAGGATAGGGCAGCAAGGAGGGCAGGCTGCCAGTCAGATCAGCTGCGTCGTAAGTCGAAGCGGGAAAATCTAATCTGTTATTAAACCATCTGTCCTCGGCCTGCTCCGAGCCTACCAGGCTGTTAGTGAACGGGAGCGCGCGCTCCACGCTCCCTCCTGGACCCGAATAATGGCCGACGAACTGGTCGTGAAGGAGCGAGCTCGCCGCCGTGTACCTGGCCGGCATCAGCTGAGCGCGCTGGGAGTCAGCAGAGGACGGGCTCAGGCGCTCGCTGTCACACGCCGTGTAGATCCTGCACACACAAGGCGTGTGGGGGAAATGTCAGCTTCAGCCTCGAGCCTTACAGCAAGCTTACACGTGTTAGGCATGAACATTTAAACATTTACAGGTGCATTATGGGCTACAGGCTCGCACCACAGTAGCTTACTCTACTCTTTACTGAAAAGCCCTTCTGCAATATATATATAGGATATAATATATATTATGCACATACATACAGTATATACATACAGTAAGTGCATATGTATGTGTGTGTATATATATATATACACAAATACATACATACATACATGCATACAGTGTGTGTGTGTGTGTGTGTGTGCATATATATGTATGTACTACATATACCGATGTATATCTATGTATGTATATCTAATATCTAATAATAATAATATATGTATGTATATCTAATATATCTAAATTTGTGCGTGTGTGTGTGTGTGTGTGTGTGTGTGTGTGTGTGTGTGTGTGTGTGTGTGCGTGTGTGCGGATAGATGTTATTAGAATAGGAATAGAAATAGAAATAAGTTATTTCGATTTTGTCACTAAAGCTGGGCGTAGGAAAAGGTCTGTAAAATAGAAAAACAATTAATTAATAAACTAAACAAATGTAAACAAAACGAAATTTTAAAAAGAAACTAAATATTAAAAAAATAATAATGATGTTTATATAATCTTTTGTATTCTATATAACACATATAGAAATATTTATGGCAGTTTATCCGAATACAGAAAAATGAAAATGATCAGTCATACTGGACGTATGATTATTCTGTATAGATCAAATGTAGGATCTAAAGCTGTGTGTAAATTATGCATAATTGTGCAAGGAAAGCTGTTGTCGAGTCAGACATGGTGCAGCGTGTAGCTGAGCAAAAGTCATGCTGGAGCTGGAGTAAAGATGACAGTACTCACGTGTCGTAATTATCCCGGAATCCTTTAGCGAATGGGTTATGGTCGATTTTCAGCTGGGTGATCTAAAATAAATATATAAATATATAAATAAATTCAACAGGAGATCTTCATAAACATGCAGGAGGAATCCCTAAACACACACTGCCA